CTTAGGAGAACAGTAATTTTTTTTAAGTCATCATTATGCAGCCGCATTGGTCGTTAAATGCGATAAAGCAGGTCGCTAGGATAATGGATACACTTGCCGTCACCTTAAAATCGGTATCGCATATGCAGTTAGAAAAATACCCCCAAAAATTAACAACATACTTCGTATTTTTGATTAACAAAACATGTAGCACTGTACATTTTATCGCTTATTTTCGTCAAAAATACCCTCTAGCGCCTGAACGGTTTGAGCTAGAGCAAAACGGACAAAATTTTCGTGCAATGAGATGTCTTTCGATGTGTTAGCCCGTAGGCCGTAGGAAACCTCAAAAACAATATTTTCAAAAAAAGTCATTTTTGGGACCCGTTGTTTTTGACTTCTTAAAAATCCAATTTTTGAACTAGAATGCTCATCTTCGAACTCGATCTGTCTTTTTATGACACGAAACGACCCTGAAAATTCCAGGTCGCTCACTCAATTCGTTTTCGAGTTTTCGTGCGGACAGACACACAGACAGACAGACAGACAGACAGAAAAAGTTTTTTCCGACCTGATAGGGTAATAGGCTTCGCTAATCGCTCACCCAAAAAAAGCCGATGCTTTTCAAATTTAAGAGTTAGAGAGATTTCCTGCACCATTTGACGATTGCATTCGTTACTTTAATTTAAAAATTTGGCCCACAGGGCTAAGACAGTCCCGCCGATCAGGCCACAAAGCCAATGCGCGCAGTCTTCATCGCAGCGGTGGCGTGGAGTGGCGGCGCAGTGCTGCCTGCGGCCTCCCCTCCCCTTCTTTTCCCTGCCGCCCGCCTATCGCGAGGGGGCAGCGGTTCTTGTTTTTTTCGTGATTTTTTTTTGTGATTTTTGCGGTTTTTTATGACTACTCGTTGATTTTTTGGTGTTTTTTGATTTTCTCTAAGGGTGTACACTAATTTGTGAGTGAAGGACCAATCGGCCTGTGCGCCCGCCCGCCCGCGAACCACACAATCGAGGGCCGCTCTGTGCTATTAAAGAGTGAGAAGGGGGAGGGTACATTGCCCTCAGGCAGCGACAGTCTTTAGAGCACTGTATAAAAAGAAAAAGTAGCAGAACATTTTTCATTTTTCATCAAGTCACGCAATGTCAGCAGTGCTGTCTTGAATGTAGCAAATGACTTGTGTTTTACTTGCAGGTCGAATTGTCATTCTCTTCATGGTCATCTAGAGGAGGTTGGAAAGAAAATGCACTAGTTTTGAGATTAAAACATCTCTGTAAGACCGGGAAAACTTACATGGCAAGACAATGGAAGAACGCACAGCTTGCAATTCATCCAAACAACGCGTCAGCGGATTGCCCGTTTCCACCAGTAAGTGGCAAAATCTTAACCTAACGGGGCAGACCTCTAAAAATCGATTTAGCAACGCCTCATTAAAAATATTGTTTAAATATTATTTGGCCCTTTGATTTAAATGCTGGGAATCTTGCTTTAATATTCTAAAACCTGCGGCTTGAGGAGCACAACATTGAAACGCCATGGCAGTAGGTGCAATGAGGCCCACGCTAAACTTAACACTCCTTCTCCGATCGATATTTTTCAAGCAGGGGTTCGTAACTACACATAACACACCTAAAGAAAGTTAGAAATTTTAAATCAAGTAACGTAACGCGACGAATTAGGATTTGGCATTCTCATAATGTTTCATGTAAAAATTACACGTAAAATGCCACAACCGCCTCTATTTGACTGATACACATCGCACTCATTGTCATACATTATGTTTTTAGGCATTAGGTATATCGAAAACGATTAAGTTAATGTTAAATTGCCTTAACACTGAAGACCAAACTCTAAATAGAAAGGCAAAACATTAGAAGACGAGAAACAGAATGAAAGGGTAAGAATAGAGTAAGAATAGATTGGTATTGTAAATAAGTAATTCGAGGAAAATTTGACAGACGGATAGTTGTTGGTTCGATGACGCTACGCCTGACCAGACCACCCAAGACAAGATGCCTGCCGGGCGAGGGGTCGCCCACTCGCCAACTGCCAACTCGTTGTACACGAGGGAAAATACTCGCAAGATACTCGTGACAACTCGCGAAAAATTAGCGAAAACTCGCAAAAAGAAAGACAAATACTCGCCTTATACTCGCATAAAGTCGCAGATACTCGCTAATACTCTCAAATACTCGCGGATACACACGCAGCTCGTTGTACACCCACTTGGAGAGTGGAGGACCCCTCGCTTCCGGGAGCCCACCGGGAACCTAACGAAGGTTACACCTGGGGATACCCGGCGGATACCCGGGAGATACCCTGGGGGTACCCTGGGGGTACCCGGGGGATACCCGGGGTACATGTACAGTATGTCTGGTGGGTATCTGGGAGAGATCCGGGAAGGCCGTTAAATATTGCGGGGAACATTCGAACCCGGTGGCGATTTGCAACACAGTGACTGAGACCAGGTCGGCCTAAGGTGTAATGTA